ATGGTTGTTAGAAAACAAAAATAGTAACAAAGACATAATAAGTTAAGAAGAGGAATGAAGGGATTGGTTGAGTGGCGTAGGAATCTAATTCCCTGACAGATGGAGCCATGATGTTCTTTTGCAAATTTTCATGCAAAAATTAAAAAAGCAGTCCTTCTCTCTAAATATTTTTAGTTGGAAAGTTGAGCTTACTGCAGCTTTAACTCATTTCCCTTGACCCCTCCACATCTATTATGGGTCCATTTTATTGCATACCCTTTTTCATTCTTATTTTATTTTATTAATCTATCAATTACTAACATGCAATTAATTTGATTGTATGCTTTGACATATTTTATGTATTGTTATAGTATTATTTCAGGTCAATAATTAATTAACTATATTGCTGAATTTTAGTCATGTTAGGTTATTCTGTTTACATTGAAATTTATTTTTGCTAAAGATAAGATGAGTAGAATGATGAACCTATCTTACTTTATACAATTACTACGAGTAAATGCAACAATAAAATCATATGTATTGTTATGACATATCTACAACAATAACAGTGCAATATGATTTACCATATTATAATTACAAGCAATTATCTTCATAAAATCTCTATCCAATAACCTCAATATACTCTGCCTTTAAGTGGTTATATTAATCGGAGTTAAGATAAGAATAACTTTTAGAGACAGAGGGAGTAACTAGCTAGTTTCGAGAGAAGTGATAGATGTGTTTGTTGTAGCATAGCAGGCCGGGTTCCCACAAACTGGCAATAGAAGGTACCTTTGTCTGAGTGATATGGGCGCTTGTACATAGTAGCTACCACTATTACTGAGAGACTGCGCATTATTTTCTGATCCTAAACAAAGAAGATTCACTGTTTTTTTATCAACATATTCAACTCCACATGTTTTTCTGACCTTTTTTGATTTTGATGAATCCACGCTCAATCGACATGTAAATGTATATTCAACCACCTACATATTCCTACAGATTACCAATATATACCCTAACTTTAATTTGATTGATTTTATTTGTTTTACAATATAATTTTCTGCAAGTTTGGTTCATCATATAACTTGATATATGAACACCAAATCAGAACAAGATATCATTACCAATGCGCTTAATTGTAAGGTGATCTTGTAAAATTCTTCCCAAAAAAAAAAAAAAAAAAAAAAAAAAGAAGGTGATCTTGTAAAACATTTTATTGGACTAATCACATGTTCTATTTTTAAGGGCCAGAACATCTCACAGGTTAGCAGGCTAGATACTTTGGGTTTTGATCCCAAAGCCTCTTGGTTGTGAGATGCAAACTTGATCACTAGACCAAGCTATGCTTGGTAATTAATTGTTCTATACATTGATAATCGGTTTTCCACTACTATAAACGCTAATATAGTTTGACAATCATAGTATTCATGTTCAACAAATACAATTCTACAAAGAGATCGAATAATGAGAAAATAAGGAACTGGAAAAGATGTCAAATGTGATTAGGGTTTTTAAAATGAACCATGAATATACTTTAAATGTGTTTGATTTCATATTTAAACAAGGAAATTTGATTTCATACTACTCTTGTACTATCACACCAAAAACCAAACTAAATTTTATCATTTTTTTTTTCTTCTCCCTAAATATATTCTTGACATAAACACAACACTTTTTGAATGACAAAATGTTTTCCCTTTAAGATGTTATACACAATCAAAATTGCATAAACGCGTATATTCAGCTTCCCATAATTTGCTCTTAAAAAAAAAAGGGTAACCTTTACACTGTATAAGTGGCTGAAACACGGGAACTTGGTACCTGCTTGAAGATCATTCATCATCATCTAAAAATGTGCTGTCTCAAAATAAAGCTATACATCCCAATTTTATTTTATAAAACTCAGCTAAAAAGTTAATTTGATGCTACCTTCAATATACACTAATTAATTACACCTTACAAATAATGTATTTAATCAAATTAACATAGTATATACGCCTCATTTTGTCCTTAAGCATAAATTATATACATAATTAAATACGAAAGCATCTTCTTTTTTATAGCGCGACGAATTTAATAAAATAGATTGTTATCCTTTGAGATCGGACAGCTAAATTTATGCCATGCAGAAACTTCTGGGATTTCGGCCATGCTATTTTTTTGATACTTAAAAATTGGATATTGTTTTTGTACGACAATGCAAGTGCGTGTTTTATAGACAGGAATCTGGAATACTTCATCAATACTCCACCTTTCTTAATTAGTTTTGCTGACTAATTCAGGATTTTTATCAAGAATTAACATTACACGAGGTTCGTTACTTTTGCTATTAATAATGTAAAGTATATATAGAAAGCTGATTGTTTTATAATGTTTAATTTTTAACCTTAATGGGATATTGGGGTGAGAGTGGAAATGTTGTGGAAAAGATCAAGATTAAAGGTGATCGATGTATGCATTTCAATTAGGGCCGTACTCTTAATTAGGTCATGGTTTTATCACAATCGATTTTACAGTGTACGTAGTTAATTAATGTGTATGTAGCTTAATTAATTAGTATAAGATTGAAGCGCGATTATTGGATTATTACCTAGTTCAATGAGATAAATGTTAAAGATGCAATTAGGATTAAAAGGCTTAATTCGAAATGTGTTTAGGATATTGCATGTACATATAGAAAGTTGTGCTTATGAATATTCATCAAGAGTTCTTATTTTAGTGACAGCTTATGAAGATATCGAGTGTACATGTACAATTCATCTGGTTTTTCTTGGTAGCTAGTTGTAATTGTGCATGAACCCCTTGATTGGTATTTGGTAATGTGAAAGGTAGCTTGGTTTTCCTACAAAAGGGAATCCTTCCTTGTAGAAGTAGGGTCTCTCCTCTTTACTGATTGGAATCAATGCATCATGTCAACTTTTTTGCTTCATGATTTACGTTAATGTTATGTAGTTGGTTGAAATCGTGAATGATGCGGTAGTTAGAAATTATATTTATCAAGTATCTAGAAGCAAATAATTATACATACCGCTATATCTTGCACCCAAAAGCACTAAATTAATCATGTTGCTCTTAGCTAGATCCATATATAGTCACACGCGCAACACAATTGTGCTGAAAGAGTCGCGTAGTGTGAGGTGCAAATTCCTCCATCAGCTCGTGCACATACAAGCAATTTGCTCAATGTTCATAAGGTGCCTCAGGAACACTAGGCTTTGTGTTTTCAGATCAGGTGCATCTTAAAGGTAGCCACATACAAGTGCATAATGTGTCATGATGGGCTATATATTGCAATAGGGATAGTAACACTAATTAATTAATTGATTACTACTATGTAAGAAGTATAAAAACATACTTCATTCGTATAGTGGAAATATAGATCAATAATTTAAAGCTATAAATTTGTAAGTTTTGACTCACAAATGTTGTAGATAGTTTTACCACTACAAATAATGCCACAATATGCAATATATAAGGTGTAGCACATAGTTTGATTTATTAAGAAATGATTTTAAGAATGACAAAAATAGGTAACTCTTAATTCTATATAATACCCCAATAAATTACTTTCACATAATATGAAATCTACTGAAATTTTTATGGTGTTAAGACCATGGACCACATTGAAGTTAGAGCATATTTCAAGTTTCAACTGATGTAATTTGAGCAGTTAGCCTTGCCAAGCAACTTTTTGATGGGATCCTATGTCACTACGTTTAAAGTTAGAAAATGATCTCTTTGCTAGCTTCATTTAATTCGAAGCCCTACTGCGTACATACATAAAGTTTCAAATTTTATATCACTGTGATAAAATGTTTGAAGCGGATAAAAAGGTAATAAGAAAATTATTTAAAAGTGTTTAAACGAGTAAAAAGGTAGTAAGAAAAATTATTTAAAAGTGTCTTTAGTGGAATTTGGTTCCACAACCTTTGTTTCTATTGAAGCAAGTATTGAAAAAGGTATGAAAATCCCGAATTGAAGCCTCGATTTTCATAGTGAGACTAATAGATTATGATAACATCTTATTATTGTTATAACTGATAGAGTATAAAACATATTCATGGGTCTCAACCATCAACTTAAGATTTTGGTTGAGTTGATCCTCTAACATGGTATCGGAGCCAGCGTGACACAAAGATCACGGGTTCGAATTATGAAATTATTGATCTAATTGCAGGAGAATAATGTAATTTGTAAATAGCTAAGTACATACGAATGCTTTGGCGAATATTGGAAATTTAGACAGATTTTAGGGCCTTGTTTGTCTAAATGAACCCTTCTCAACTAGTTCTAAGTTCTTCAACCTTAACCATAAAATAGGGCCTAAAGTTGGCCCATTAAGCACTGCTAACTAGTAGTCAGCGCCCACCACTGTAAATTGTTATTAAACCATTCGAGGTGTCAAATTCTCCTCGCTGAACATAATTCCTGTCCCGAGGTATTTCGTACTATAATGAAGAATTTAAAATGGAAAATTCTTGACTCCCTATTACTCAAATGGTAACATATGGATTGAATTTTCAGTAGCGTCGGATATATACTATGGCCCTGTTTTTTTGAGCTTTGAAGCAGAGTAGATTATTAATACTTAGCAGAGCAGAGAAAACCACAACAGTTCAAATTAATAGGACCTACTTGTATCATATTAACTCGGTAAACACTACCACAAGACTGAAATTACATTACCATACTTCCTCGGTAACGAGTATATGTCATGCATGAAGAAGTCCTAAGCCCCAGTTACCATGAAGGTCCTTCAAAAGATTATCCACAGTGTGATGTACCCTGTTTTCGACTTTGCTCCTGCCTATATAGTAAGGCTCCTAAGTTATACTCCAAAGTACTTTGACCTCCTAATCTTTTTCTGAGACTTATCTCAATTACAGTAGACACAGTGTCATCTCTACGAAGACCAGCAATAAATTATCATCTCGCCATAAAATCACTATCCCCTGGTCTGTTAGCCTATTAGAGTCAACAATGGGATTATGCAAGAACTAGAGTATTGCAATATTGCATTTGGGAAGATGGATGATACATGAGTTGAAGCATTTATTTCCAATAATAAGGATCAGCTGGCATATTATCATTCTACATAATATATGCTATCTTGTACACTCTAAAATAATAAAGGCGGTCTGATTAGTCCAGAAATCATCTGGATGGATGAATGTCAAACAAAAATGATAGCATGCCGGAGAATTTGGACAATCTTTCTGCAATAAAGCTTACATAATGCATATTGGTTCATCTTCCACAACGTGCTGATGTAAAGCTGCAGCAGTATAGTGTGATCTATCCGGAATTACAGGGGAAATAAATTCATTCTGCCAAAATAATACTACTTCCTTCCCCTATTAAGCCTCTGCAAGTGATAATTGATGCTTCCCCAAGGCTTTTTGTTCTTACCCGCCTGTAATATGAAGAATATTTGTCATCATACATCAGCATAAACATGATTGTAGCAACACAAAACTAGAAAAAGCTTGAAAAAAATTATATCAAAGCAAAGGTTTCACAATAACCTGAGCTTCCATGCACGTGCCCAGAAGTTGCTTTTGACGAACACATTTTTCATCATTGTTGTGGCAGAGACCTAAGCAATTAAGTAATGATATCATTTCCTTCATGCAAGGTTTCTGCAGAGAGCCAAATTTCTTTGGATTGATGCGTAATATACCAACCTTTCTCCCCATTCTGCTTCCCTAGCTTGGACTGCAGTTAACAAACAGCTACATTAGTCAAACTACTTGACAGTCTAGTATCACATCGAAGGAATTGAAGAAAAAGCTAATCAAAACTTGTAAAAAAAAAAATAGAGGTGAATTCATCACAAAAGGAACCAAAAAGTAGAGTAGCTATTAAATAAAATGGCAAAGAAAATAATAACCGTGCCCAAACTCGTCATAATTTTATAATTAGGAATTCAACACGGTCACACTAAATTATGGCTTGTACTAGCAGCGACTATTTTACTATTGATCCCTCATTTCAAGAGAGTTATCATGTAGAAACCATTCATAACATCAACTGCTAGTCTGCTAATTTAGGAGACATGACTACAATTTCCTTTGAAGCGAGTTTAAGTTTAAAACCCCTTCTGTTTAAGTACATAACCACACTGACCGACAAATGCAACATTGCATTTCAAAGCCAGCACAATACAAACATAATGAATGCAGAGATCCCCCCCCCCCTCTTCTCTCTCCTCTCCTCCAACCGCCCCAAAATCAACCACCAACAATGTGCTAGTAGTTGATCAAATTTGAACACAAATTAATTGATCAAATACTATATACCTACAGCATTTTCACTAAATTGTGAATAGTTTGAGAGGGAATGCATCAGAGCTAACAACAAATTAGCAAGCACACAATATGAACAAGAACAACAGACTATGAATCTCACCCTCTAAGAAATATACTGTTACAATGTTAATCTTACAACCTAACTAGGCTCCTCAAGTAAGTAGCTTAATGGAGCCCAGCAAAATTAATAAGAATAATAACTAAACCTAACTAGGCTCCTTAACAGCATCCATCCATGAATTCATAACTCGACAAAACACAACTTTTTGCTTCCCTCCAATGTTGTCACATTCATGATTCATCCTAACTCAAGAACAATGGACTATGAATCTCTCCCTTAATAAGATATGGGAGTAATAGACTGTTGCAACGTTAATCCAGTGAATCTCTCCTTAAGAAAATCCTGCTTCCCTCCAATATTATCACATTGTTTCATGATTCATCCCAGCTCAAGAAGCTAACACGATTCGAACATCATATTAACATCATACAAAAATACTTCCAATTTCCACAAAATAAACCTAAACTATCTCCCAAAATTTAAAAACATGAAGAAATTTCACCCTTCATCGGAGTACTTTTATCAAACAGATGGTGTGCATTCCTCACTAGGTTCACTACTTATGCCCACGAAAACATACTACCAACAAACGAAACGATTCAAATCATAATCAAGTTTCAGAATTTCTATAACAACTAGAAAATCCAAACACATCAGAAGATCAACTGAATCAATTTCTATGCATTTCAATAATTTCACAAAATGGAACCAAAAAAATACATTCAATTCCCAGATGTAAAAATTAAAACATTTCTGCGCAGAAATCTGTTATAATTGACTCAGAGTAAAAAATTAAATTCATAAACCCTATAAATCTTTAACCTTTAAATTCTTAGATCATAAATCATGAAATAAAAAAAAATAAAAAAATAAAAAAAAATAAATAAAAACTTCATTTTTACTCGATTATCTAAATCAAAAAATGAAAATTAAGTAAGAGGAGAGAGAAAAACCTGATTCCCGGCGATAGTGAAGCGAGGTGGTAGCGGCGCACAGTTGGGCGGAGCTTCGTCTGCAATTTTCTGGAAAATAGAAGAATGTTAGAAGAAAGGGGAAAAAGTCTTTGGGCTCAAATTGAGTTATTTTGGGCTTTTGTTTACCTGATAAAATGGGCCTTATTGTTATTGGATTGAACAGTTTGATACCTTTGGGCCCTATAAGATTAGCGCGATTAACGGCGTAATGAAGTATTTTTCGTACAGAAATTATTGATCATCATTAATTTAACAGCCTGCCATACTTTGTTGATTTGGGTCCACCTTGGTAATTGATTGCGAACAGCCCAATGTTGATATTGTTCTGTAACATTATCTTTATTGAGTTTAAGCTTAGTAATCATGGGCAGATCATAGAAATTTGAACTAATCCCTTAATCAGTAATTAGCCAGTCTAGTATAGTTAAATTTCATCTTTATTTTGTCGAGTGTAGACGAGAATTAGATCAAGTACATCAACACGTATGAGTAATTGAGTACGGACTACGGAGTAGTCAATATTATTGTTAGATACTCCGTATATTGAACAGCTATTGCTCCGTGATTTTGTATTGTTAGTTGTAACTTAGTAGTCATCAATATATCAACCAAAGTGCACATCATACACTCAATGCAGAGAATATTGTACATCGATAAGAGATTGATGACTTAAATCATGTGTTTAGTTAAATTTTCGAAAAAACTTTTTGCTTCATAATTAGAGGGCCAGCATTGCATGCGATAATTCCTACCAAAAGTAGCATATTTTCACCCAACCCAGCTGGCCTTAAGCACATTTTGGGGGTAAGACTTTGGCTATTTAGTAAATTGATTAGTTTGTTCAACATTATGGAGAAGAATTTTCTCACTCAACTAGTGTTATAACTGTTATTAGTGACTTGTGTTACCAACTTTATCGGAGGATCGGAAAATGAAGTGTATATATCCCTTTAAAATGAGCTGTCACGAAATGATTTTCCGTAGTTTCATTAGAGTGTAGAGTAGAGTATTTATACAAGAGATTAGGGCTCAAAAAATAGGCCCGTTAACTATACAATATAAACACTAATTATAGGCCCTAACACTCCCCCTCAAGTTGGAGCATGCAAATCACAAATGCCTAACTTGTCAAATAAATACATGAATTGACTTTTACTCAAAGCCTTGGTGAAAATATCCGCTAATTGGTCCGTTGTCTTCACATAAGACGGACTAATGATACCATCCTGAATCGCATCACGAAGATAATAACAATCAACCTCAATGTGCTTGGTACGCTCATGGAAAATTGGATTCTTCGCAATATACAAAGCAGATTGATTATCACAAAACAAACTCATAGCACGAGGATGGGAGACACCCAAACTCAGAAAAAGGAACTTTAACCATTTCAACTCATCAGTGGTTTTAGACATTGAGCGAAATTTGGCCTCTGAAGAAGACTTGGCCACAGTGTCTTGTTTCTTAGTCTTCCAAGATATAGGAGAAGCACCAAGAAACACCAACCAGCCAGAGATAGAACGGCGCGACAAGGGACAACCTGCCAATCTGAATCACACCAACCTGTAATATGTAAATCACAATCTGAACTCAAAAGGATTCCCTGACCCGGACATCCCTTCAAGTACCGCACTGTACGAAGAGCTGCTTCCCAATGGTCCTGTCGCGGTTCATGCATAAATTGAGACAAAATATGCACCGCGTATGCCAAATCCGGTCTAGTAAAAGACAAATAAATCAAACGGCCCACAAGCCGTCGGTACTGCTCTGGATCAGAAAAGAAAGAGGACTCTGATCTCGCCAGAGTATGATTCTGCTCAATAAGAGTACCTGCCGGACGAGCACCTAGCAAACCAGACTCTGCAATAATGTCAAGTGTATATTTCCGTTGACATAAAAATATGCCTTCCGGACTACGAGCAACCTCAACACCAAGAAAATACTTCAAAACACCCAAATCTTTCATATGAAAACAGTCACTCAAGTATGACTTGAATGTTGAAATCGCAAAAGAATCATTACCAGAAATTATCAAATCATCAACATACACCAGAACACTAAGTTGTATAGACCCAGATTGCAGAGTAAAGAGAGAATAGTCAGAGTACGATTGCACAAATCCGTACCTTTTCAGAGAGGCGACCAATTTAGAATACCAACAACGAGGTGCTTGTCGAAGACCATACAACGACTTCAGAAGACGACACACCATACCAGGTTGAGAGCCATGAAATCCAGGGGGAAGCTTCATATAAACTTCCTCATCAAGATCACCATGTAGAAATGCATTGTGGACATCCATCTGATGCAATTCCGAATTCTTTGCAGCAGCGACAGCAAGAAAAGCACGAACAGTGACCATTTTAGCAACGGGAGCAAAAGTCTCATTGTAATCAATACCCTCAACCTGATGATTACCAAAGATAACCAGACGAGCCTTCAATCTCTCGAGTGTGCCATCAGAATTAAGTTTGACCTTGTAAACCCATCGACACCCAAGAGCTTTCTTACCAGGAGGCAATTTTTCCATTACCCAAGTGCCATTTGTTTCTAATGCATCAATTTATGTTTGCATAGCCGCTTTCCACCCCTCATCCTGCATTGCCTCCTTGAAATTACGAGGCTCAACCATCGTATCAACAGCTGCAATAAATACACGGTGTCGCACAGAAAATTTATCACAATTCACAAAATATGCTAAAGGATAGGGAGTACCTGAGGAGCATGGAGTAGACGGTGAACCAGGAATGATAGATGGACTCGAAACAGAAATAGTATGTGCAACATAATCCCGATGCCAACTCGGGGGATGTCTATGTCGTTGACAACGATCAAGATCAAGAGATGATTCAGAGGAGAGACTCGGATCAGCAGCCTCCGAGGAAGAAGCAGTAGTAGAGGGCACAGAAGGTGCAGTAGTGTGAGGAGCATGGGGGGTAGCACATGTAGTGGTAGCGGCATCACAAGCGGTGGCAGGGGTGCTCGGTGCGTGTGTTGACTTGGGGTCAATAGAGGATCCACCGACCTCCAACACATTTTCCAAATCATCCAAAAAATCATGATCAACTACCACATTGTCATGTGACACACCCTCGGTACCCACATTAGCATCAAGAGAGTCACTAGTAGACACAAAGGGGAATTCATTCTCATAGAACTTGACATCACGTGAGACAAAAATTTCACCAGTTTCAAAATCATATAACTTCCAACCCTTCTTGCCATGAGGATAACCCACAAACACACATTTCCTACTCCTAAGAGCAAATTTGTCACCCTTAGCTTTTTGATTATGAGCGAAGCAAAGACACCCGAAAACACGTAATGTATCAAAAATCAGGTTGTTTGCCAAAAAGCATTTCATGTGGAGTTTTCTTATCAAGTAAAAGAGAAGGAGTGCGATTAATAACATAAACCGCCCCAAGAATACACTCACCCCACAAATCAATTGGCAAATTGCCTTGAAACATCAATGCTCTACCAACATTCAATATATGTTGGTGTTTACGCTCTACCCGACCATTTTGTTGAGGATTACCGACACAAGAGGTTTGAAAGAGAATGTCATGTTCATCAAAATAGGGAAGCATGTGTTTGAATTCAGTTCCATTATCACTCCGTACACACTTAACAGTAACATCAAATTGATTTTTAACCATAGCAAAGAAAGAACAGAAAGAAGAATAAACTTCAGTTTTATCATTCAGCAAATAAACCCAAACACCTCTTGAAAAATCATCTACTATAGTTAAAAAATAATGAGCACCACAAGTAGAAGCCTTCTTATACGGTCCCCACAAATCACAATGTATCATTTCAAGAATACGACTAGCACGACTATCACTATCAGGAAAAATGGCTCGGGTTTGTTTTGCTAGAGGACAAATTTCACATGCTTTATGTTAACACTTAGGAGCAGAACTACCTCGAATAGCAGGAATCAATTTGACAATTTTCTCCGATGGATGCCCCAAACGACGATGCCACAACTCGAATGTAGAAATGTCCGGACCCGTGAGAGCACATACTTTTGGGAGACGCCGGAAATAATATAGTCCATCTATCCGTTCACCGCCTCCAATTAAGCTCCCCGAGGATTGATCATGTATAGCACAAAGAGAATTAGTGAATCGGACAAAGCAATTAGAGTCATCAATCAACTTAGACACAGAAATCAAGTTGCAATTCAATTGCGGAACAAATAGAATATGTTCGAGAGTAATGCCATCCGCCAAGACAACACGACCCTCTTTAGTAGCCATGGCCTTAGCACCATCGGGAAGACCAACGGGACAAGAGATAATAGAATGAGCATCTTGTAAAAAATTGTCATTGCCGGTAACATGATGGGATGCGCCGGTGTCAATAATCCATGAGAATGATAGAGAATCACTAGCCATAGAACTCGTAGGAGGATCAAACACACCCAAGATAGAAGAGGCATTAGTAGTAGTAGTAGGCAACCGAGGAAGGGCAGCAGCAATAGGGGTAGCAGCGGCCGCGGGGTGGGATCGCGGGATATCCCCGCGGCCTGGCAGAACAACCTGTGGTGTACCAGCACCCGCGGGACAGAGTCGCGGGATTTCCCCACGACCTGGCAGAGCACGCGACAGAGAAACAGCAGGCACCGCGGCTGGCAGATGGTGCGAAGTAGGAACGACAGAACTAGGCATCACCGGAGAAGATGATCGCCGCTTAGACCCATATTTGTCCAGCCACCACTCGGGTAGGCCGCGGACGAGAAAACAGCCAGCAATATCATGTCCCAAGCGATTGCAGTGGGTGCAATGTAATTGGGACTTAGCGTGTCGCAATAATTCAGTACAGTAGAGAGTGGGCTTACGGTTTGGAGTAGTAAAAGAAGACATAGGATTGTTGTCATTCACCATGAGTGAACAAGAAGAAGTAGTAGAGAAGAATGTGAAGCTATGCACACCACAGCAACGCAACCAAAGAAAGAAACCCAATATGCAATGTAGAACAGGAAGGAGAAATCGAATTGGGGAAAACCCAAAATTTCAGAAATTGATTGGGGAACAACCTAATTGATTGATTGATCAAATTGATTGGAAGAAGAAAAATTTCAGAAATTGATTGTAGAGATTAGAATAGAAATTAATTTAGGGATTAGAGTTTAGAAAATAGAAATTGATTTTAGGGATTAGAATGATTTTGGCTCCGATACCATGTCACGAAATGATTTTCCATAGTTTCATTAGAGTGTAGAGTAGAGTATTTATACAAGAGATTAGGGCTCAAGAAATAGACCTGTTAACTATACAATATAAACACTAATTATAGGCCCTAACATGAGCATTGTAAGATTCGACCTTTGGCCTCTTGTTTGTAGTTAAAAACTGTAATATAAGTCAACTTACTATAGTATCCTATTGTAACTCATCCAATATATTTGGAAAATATTATGTACGAATGTTACGGAGTAATAATTATTTCAATAGATACGAGATAATATGCATATAATATGGAGTATAATTTATTTGTAAAATAAAGATATAATAAGGCTTACAGAGTTAGGGCAAATCATAGTCACATCTAAAATTTGGGTGACAATTTATACTCTATTAATACGAGTACCATGCTATGCTTCATAGTAAATCATTTTTGTCGACTACAGTAGTTAGTTGTACCAGTCTTAAGTCAATGTACAAATTACGATTTGTATATATAATTCTCTAATTGGTGGATACCTCAATCTATAGTACATATATATGCCTCCCCTTAATTACCTGACACATTTAAGCAGTTAATTAACTACTTCGTACTTTGTATAATCCAACTTTGGACAATTCGACATTTTATATTGCTAATCCTAGTTAGTTCGGCTGTCACCCAGTCATCAATTGATGTTGACTTGTAATCAGTAATATTAATTTATAATTTTATTCTACCTACTACACTACTAATTTGAGATTGGGATTGACAGTGTAACACTTGACGAACTTGGTTATGTTAGCATGTTTAATATAATTGTATATTTGTATTTGACTCTAATAATCCAAAACCTCTAGAATTAGCATTACAAATATACAAACAAAAGCATTCTCGAGCTGACAACATGCCACTTCTAAACTATGACTCTATAAGGATTTTTTTTTTTTTTTAAGTTCATCCTATTTCGGCAATCTCATTTAGTGAATTTCTATGTCCTAATTCATCTAGGAAAAGAAAATAAGAAAATTTATTATCAGTAAAACAATCAATATCTCAATGATAATGTGTTTAATTCATGTAGTTATATAAACCTGTACACAAACTATAATAACATGACCCAAGTTTTGTATGGCGAAGTATATGGGGTGCGAAGTCTATTTTGCTCGATGGGCTGAAATGGCGGGTTGGGGATGGTGAGAGCATCAACGTTTGGGATGAAGCTTGGCTCCCGGGTGACAGCGTGACTGTAGTGCCTACTCCGAATTTGACGAGTCTGGCAGACCTTGTTGTGGCAAATTTGATTGACAAAGATGCAGGAGAGTGGAATTGGGATGTGATTAATGCTCTTTTTACCCCTGAAGATGCGAACCTGATTCGTAGCATCCCATTGAGCAAAAGGCTACCTACTGATGTCAGATATTGGTGGCCATCGAATGATGGGATATACTCTACGAAATCAGGATATTGGCTTGGTAAATTGGGTCATATCCGTGGTTGGGAGCAACACTATGGGGCTGATTTTGATGTTCTATGGAGGCTAGTTTGGGGTATGAATGGGCCGCCTAAATTATGACAGGCATGTACGAGAAAATGGGGTGTGTGGATTGTGCAATGGTGCTCAAGAGACTATTTGTCACGCTATCTTTGAATGCGCGAATGTACGCCAAATCTGGAATCCTTCACCTTTCCATAGTCTGCTGTGTGACGCTCCTATGACAAATTTTGGTGAAATGCTTCTTTGGGTGAGTACCAGATTAAACAAGGATGAGCTGCTGTCGTTTAGTGCTATGGCGTGGGCTGCCTGGTCATATAGAAACTCTGTGATCTTTAACAACCCTTGGAGTTGTGTTGTGAATGGCACTTTAGGCTTTATGAAATTGGTCGGTGAATACAAGAAGTATAATGCTGCTGTGAGCTGTGTACGAGGGAGTGGAGTTCAATCCCGTAGCAGCTGGCAGGTACCAAACGTGGGTTGTGTGAAGATTAATACAGATGCAGCAATGCTGGCTGGGATTGGGGTGGGTCTAGGGGCTGTTGTGCGTGATGATGCTGGGCAGATTATGGCTATTGGTGTGAAGCGTTGCAATGGTGAGTTTCCTGTGAAGCTGGCAGAAGCTATGGCAGCCAGGTGGGGTTTGCACATTGCTAATTTAATGGGTTGTGATAAGGTGGAATTGGAAGGAGATGCTAGCATTGTGTTCAATGCTATCAGACAGCAGAAGCGCGGCAGATCCCCTTTTGATCTTGTGATTGAGGATATATTGGATGCTGGCAGAAATCTTATTAGTTTTAGTGCTTATCATGTTAAGCGTAGTGGCAACAGCGAGCAGCGAGATTGGCTCCCCCCAGTGGGTCGGAGTATGTAATTTTTAACTCTTTTCCCCAAGGTATCACTGCCTTGGCGAATCTTGATTTGCTTTGATTAATAAATTGCCATTCCCGATTGCCGTTCAAAAAATAAAAATAAAAAATTGATATGTCCTCTCAAATAGGATTGTCTTTATGAATTTTGAGGATACTCACAACAATCAGAACTCACAAATCATAATTCATGCAAAGATAAAGAGACACTAATAGCTTTATATCCAAGTATACAATATTTGTAGAACTATATTAGGAAAAGATTAAATCAACTAATCAAGTGTTGGCCTAATGGTTAGAAAATAATCTTACAACTTTAAAATTGAAAATATCCTAACTAGACAGACTTTGAGGATGGAGATCCATTTACCCTGGTATCCTCTTTCTCCCCCCTCCCACGCCTCCACTCTCAAAGCACCTAACCGTGCTTTTATTCTAGCTAGGTTGATCTGATCTAAGGAAGGTTGCGATTAGTAAGACAATTAGGCATTATTTGTTCAAACCTCCTTTAATTTGTCTCTTATATGCACATAAACTGTGCGAGTAACTTGAGCCTCAAACTCAAATACACCTACAACATGTATTGTTCCTATCACTAAACTTAAACTTATGCAAAATTCTTGATCATCAAGTCATTGCCTAAATAAATAAAACAAAGGATTGAATTTAAATTATTTTGAGTTGTACACCAACTTTAGCTCCCGTTTGGAGTATTTAATTATGTGTCATCTCTTTCATAAAGTTGAAAGTGTTGGAACTTTATCCATAGAGCTGGCAAAAAGTCGTGTAGTTTCGTGTTCGTGTTCATTATCGTGTCAATTTCGTGTTATTCCTAAAATCTATCAAAAACTATGTAAAATGTAAGATAATTACATAATTTAATTAGTTTATCTAAATGGATCGTGTTAATTTCGAGTAGACTTTGTGTTTTTTCCCAGTAATTTCGTATTTGTGCATGCCGGTTTCGATCATGTTGTCATGTCGTGTCAGATTATTGCCTCCCCTATTTACACAAAGGTGTATAATAATTCAAAGTGATTGAATGATTTATGAGAACAATTAATTTGGATGAATAATTTGTGAATTCCATGGTTCAACCCATTCCCAATAAACTCAGAACCTCTTGAATAAATCATTAAATTGTATTGCAGCAAAGTGCACCAATTTAAAGTTTTCGTTATTGTTGTAGGCCACAAAATAAAGTACCCCCCACATAATTTAATTTGAATTTTAATTGCAGAAAATAGAAAGTATTTCCAACCAAAAAGACAAACTGAAATTGGCTGATTTAAATTAAATTCTAATTTTGTTTGAAATTGCATTAAAAAAAAAAAAAAAGGTGATAAAAATAATTAAGAGAAAGTACCCTAAAACAATATAGTCCCTACATATAGTTAGCCAAACAAAGGGTTATCTACTCTAGGTAGTTAAATTTTTATAAGAACAGAACACAAAATAGATTGACCCTACATTACTTCCCAAGTGTAAAGTGTTGGACCACTCTGTAACTCTCATTGTTCTATTCTCTCAGTCTTCCACACTCACATGCACTCATGTTCTCACCCTACCCATACTTACATTAGTCCCCTGATCATATCATTATGTTTTAAATTTTAATACTTGCTTAATTTATATGCATATATGTAATAATGTAAGTTATAGCTAGATATATCTAATGCACTATATAGTATGCATTAATTAACGATCCTGCCATTTGAAGATAATAATTCTCATGGTCGTAACACAACATTTCATTTACTTCACGACTCATGTGCTACACATAACAACGTAATTTGTATTACGTGTTGTCTTATCTGAAATATGAGAAATAAATATCGTGGTTACATTTCGTTTACTTCACGACTCATGTGTTACACATAACAACGTAATTTGTATTATGTGTTGTCTTATCTGAAATATGAGAAATAAATATCGTGGTTAAGACGTTATATTTGTTTCGTCGTAGTTAAGACGCCTAGGGAAGGTCTTTCATAAGACATAAGAGTACCAACAATCGATAAAGTTTGTAAAGTCCTAGACCCGCTCTTCATTTTACTTCTCTAAGGAGTATGCATAAAAGGACAGCATATAAATGAATGAATGTATGATACAGATAAACGTGAATGGTCCAAAGTCATTCAAATTTGAAAATAAACAAGAAAAGGCAGAAGAGGATAGTTGAAGTTGAAGGTGGGGCATAACCCTTTAAATTGGGGAAGATAACTTCAAAAGTCGCGTGAAACTAGTGACATGTCTTCGGATTTAGGTGAAATCCCTCTAATTTTATTTGCCACCCATAAACATCAACTTCCTACTTTGTCATATTATCATTTCTTTTCAATTTTAATTAAGGTGACAAAGACGCCAACTTTTATTTAATTATAAATTTATTTTTCATACTCACATAATCAAAATAAATATTCAAGGCGCCACTTCTTGAACTCTTTTTATCTTTTTAAATTAGTGACCGTTCTTACCAAATTAGTTCTAAATTCACTCCCCACATTGTTCTACAACTTTTGACCCAAGCATTATTACAAATTCACTTTCAATATAATTTAAAACAAAAAAATATAAATAATTTAAGTAAACAGTTCATACTTATTAGGCTCCAACATCAGAATGATGACTAAAATTAAGATGATGACTCATTAATTAACTCATCTAGTAATTAAGTTTAAAATATCATGTGTTACACGGATCAACACTTATAAGTGTTTTACATGGAACATATCTATTAAGGGCATGGCAAAATATAAAATTCCTTTAATTAGTTACCGTATTATCTAAACAAATCCACATAAAAGACACACACACTATTTTGTGTACTCATAAAGTTCCAAGGTAACTCTAAGCCAACTTTTCTTGTGTGTACTAGTACTAGACTACTAGTGTATTCACAGCTATTTAATGAGAAAATGAGCATGAGTTAAGTATGATTTCAACTAACTCTAGAAATAAGGTAAACAACTTCGAAATTATGACAGCAGCATATATCTACTGCCAAAAATCTTCTTATCTACTAGGATAGAATGTATGGCAGCTTTTCAGTTGACCTAAAACAAAGATTCTTCCAAACGATGAACAATTTAAACGTGGGTGCTAAAAAGGCGGATATTTTGTATAAGAGCTTTCTTTTTCTGTTTTATAAGGTTTAATCTATACCTTACAAACTTGTAGAAGAAGGGTTTTATTCAATATATTTCTATCTTATTCACTTTTTTCTTTGCCCTAAATTTTATACAAAAACAGCTGCTTTAACAAGAGGAAATTGTGCATCAAGAGAACAATTCTTGGTGTATTTTCCTACAATAATTGCGTGTCAAATCGATCATTATGCACATGCTTTGTTTGGACTGTTTCATTCATACCAATATATTACACTATACACAATTTGGCTACATCTACAAACACTAATCAATCACTAGTATCAAGAATTAGAGTGTAAATCTAAGCATATTATAGTTAGTGTCATTAGGAAGAAGCATCTTAACAACTTTTAAATTCAAACATTATGACAATCATATCAACTATGATCAAACTCTTGCTTATAGAACTTCAAAACATTGTACAACTCCAAGGAAATCTTGCCCACTCTTCCCTTAGGTCTTTTAATTTCAAACTTGTCTCCTATTTCGTTAAGAAAGCACCAAAATTTTCTTGGATAACGCCCAAAAAATTTGCCACTACATACCAATTTCAAAGAGTGGTCGAAAATGAAAACATATCTAGTTTAACATTGTACAACTCCGAGTAAATCTTGCCCATTCTTTCGCAAACTCATTTGATTGCAAAAATTGTCTCCTATTAGCCAAGAAAACACCAACATCTCTCTTTCTAACGCCCAAATACCAAAATTTTTGCCACTATAGACTTGTATATCAATAAACTGATTTTGAAGAGTTGTCGATCATACCTCGATGTTAGAAGTACACTCTCATAGATAATGTCATTACAACTCCGTGCATTCTGGTTCTAGTTGCACTTGGGATTGTACAAGAGTTTGACAAATTAAAAGAAATTCTCGAACCATGGACAATTAAAGCAGTGTCAAGAATATAAATTAAAAGCATATATAGTACTCCGTACTTTGTATTTACTTATTTACACATGAAATTGTACATCTAATACAACCAATTTTGCTATAACAGAACAATTTTCCCAATTAACATGCAGGAAAATAAAACATTGTGTCAACTATTTGAACAAAAACACACTGAAATAGCAGTAGTATCAGAATCTCTGTTTCAGGAAATCCCAAAACTCTTCCATATTGATTGGATAACAAGGAGGTTATCTTACAGGAATCCTTTTTTTTTTTCTCCTAATAAATTAAGAAACAGAATCTCCAAAAAAATAAAAACCAAAAATAAAAAGGAAGAAAAAAAAAGGCTTAATTAATTAATTAAGTAATTCACACTATCACTAATTTCTTCTTAACAAGATCTAATAATTCAAACAGAGTGTTATTTTTGAAGTACCTGAGAAGTGCAATGAATCTCCTTCTCTTCTTCTTCATCTGAGTGGTAATTTGAAGGAAGTGAATTCTCCAAAATAACCTCCTGAAAAATCCCACTTTTTTGTGCTTCTTCAACCAACCTTCTATACAATTTCTCCTCAGCATCTCTCAAAAACTTAAACTTAGGAGGTGGAGAAGATCTCAACCTATTAATTTCAGCTTCAACAACAGTTGCTGAAGTTTCAAACAACGGGTTGTTGTAGTTATTATTATTGGTTGACAACAGCAACTTTGATTTTGGAGAAGATGATGACATTGGACTTAGATTATTATAAGGTGTATGCGTTTCAATGGCCATGATTAAATCACTCAAACTCCTTGTTCTTGATCCTTTTCTACTAGCCTTTGATTTCCCATCTTCAGACTCTAAATCTTCCTTTGTTTCTTCCTTAATTGTGAACAAGAATCTTGGATGCCCTGCTAACCGAACGATGTCTGAGTCCACACCTTCTTCCCCTAGAGCCTTTAGTAGGAGATCTTTTCGGGTTTCTAAACCCATTTCAATATCTCCTTCAGTGTTTTCAGCAACGTTGTTGTTGCTTGAATTTGGGTTTACAACTGTGTTGTTGATTGTTGTGGGTTTATCCCAACAAAAGAGGTAGAACATCTCTTTTGCATGATTACTGTAATCCTGCTGAATTCTGTTGTTGCTGCTGTTGTTGTTTGTGTTGCTCGTAATTCTCTGCTTCTTCCACCATAGTAGATAGTAAAGCTCTGCAACAAGTGCTAATAGTAAGCAACCAAATACTATACTTAACACTATCCCTAAACCACTCAAAATTGTCATCTTTGTGTTTCTCTCTCCAAATAAATCAACACCACCTTAGAAATATGGAAGAATTGATTGAATTATCAACTGGGTATTCTTTGTTTTTGTGTAAAGATCACATCTTTAGTACAAAGAATCAAGCTTTTAATTTCTTTCCCAGGAAAAAAAAAAAGTGAACCGAAAGCCTATTTCTTTCAGATTGTCATATTCACCACCTGTTCGATGAAATGCCTCAATGAAAAAAAAAAAAAAAAAGAAGAGAAGAGCTTTTCTTTTCAGCTAATGAAAGATTCCCATTGCTTATTGTAGGCGGGTGAGCAGCGAGAATGAGAAGGTATTTTTGGTTCAAGGAAAAAAAGAATTTGGGAATTTTGGAATAATATGGAAATTTTGTTTAAGAGGAGTAAAAATCTTTTCTTACCTTAAAAGCCTACAAATACAATGCATGTTTGGAGTAAAATTCAACTTTTTAAATTTAGGAGAGAGAAAATGTTGTAGAACAGAAGTTTGGGAAATATTTGAGTCCAAAAAGAGGCAGCTCACATGGGTTAAGCAAAAGCGTGTGTCAAAAACTTGCAAGAATTTAATTTTAAAAATTAAAAAAGTTTAAGGAAACTAAACTAACAGAAAATAAAAATAAAAATGGTTTATACAAGTAAGAAAATAAAAAATTAAGGGGGAACAAAGGTGATTAACTGGTAATCACTAATAAGTAATCACAGAAGGTTGACAGCAGGGAAGAAATTGATTGAATAACCCATGCGAGGAGGGTGATTAGAAGTAATGTTACAAGACAAAAAACACACTGACCCATTTTTCCCTCTATTCTGTTGTGTACTTGGCTGGCTTTATTATGTTTTTGTTTTTTTTTGATGGAATTATGGTTTTATGTCATCTTCAAATTGAAGCACTTTTACAATTGTAGGGTATGCCGGATTTTCGGCTTGATTAGGATCGACCATTGGCTGAACCCATTAGCTACTTCTCGTGCTAAATTTTTTTTAAGAGTGCTTTTCGTGCTTTTTAATGTGGCTTAAATCCAACAAAATAACATATACGAAGTACAATATATGTCAAGTTGTGATGTGCATTTTCATATTGAGTCGTGTTTTGTCAAGAATTGACCACATATAATGTCATCTTTACTTATATGTCAAGTTGTGATGTGCATTTTCATGTTGGATCGTGTTTTGTCAAGAATTGACCGCATATAATGTCATCTTTACTTTTGTCTAATAAGTATATAAATTAAACTTCATTCAATTCAAAGTACTTGCACCATTTACTTATTTGTCGTCTCTAATACACTAGTTTGGCCATAAACATGTTTAATTATGCATTGGTAAAAATATTACTATATTTTAAACCTATGTTAAGGATTCAAACAATAACAAATTTGACTATGCTATCTATCTCTATATTGAGACTTTGCGATCAAAGTATTTAAATTTTTTTTATCAAAATAGAAATGGAGCAATTTTTGGAATCAATGAAAGTAGTATAAAGGTAGTATAAAACCAAAAAAAAAAAAAAAGGGGTAGCATTATAGAGGTTGTAGACCCAAACCATTGATCGAAATTCAACTAAGTAATCATTCAATATACTGTCACTTACTCACTTAACATAATTTCTTTATAAATCACCAAGAGACAGTATTTAGAAATCACCATATTACCATCAGTCCCACTCCAGTAGAGATATCCTTTGATATTATTTAAGGTGTGTTATAGTGCTAAGCTTCTACTACCAAAAATAATGTTACATACTGTTTCGGTTGAAAACAATGGGACCTTGCCGAAGGTCCGTTGAAATGGAGAAGACTGGATTCGATCCAAGTTGTGTTGGGCCGAAGGTTTCCTGCACAGTGAACACACGTAAACTAGCCTCGGGGGTGTTTCCGAGGAAGGCCCCTCCGATGCTAAAGTCAGTATAATGTGTAAAAGGAAGACACTATGCAAGAGAGTTTGTAGCTTGAGGCTTTTGTGGAATATTTCTGAATGCAAGAATGAGCATACGAATTGGAATATGACTCTCCCCTTGAATGTGTTAATATGAGGGCTTTTATACCTCATCATACTTGGAGAGGTTGGGCTTTAGCCCAATTGGCTTACTTTGTGGGCTGACTTTTGACTTTTGAGCAATTGGAGAGTTGAACCTTGACCTTGGGCTTTTAATTGGATCATTTAGTGCTCAGGCCCAATTTTGACTAAATTGGACCCAAACAACTTGCCCCCCAGACCCGATTTGGAAGAATGACGGGTCGGGTTTGATTTAACTCAGAAAAGGAGGGAAGTAAATGATTTAATTGATCCAAAAATTTGAATTTAAACCGTAATTAATGAGATAACAACGGTTAATGATTTGCGGAAGTTGGACGGATAATGGGCGGTTTAATCACAAGACATGTGTTTAATGGTTACTTAGTGGGTACTTAAGAGAAATTAAAGCACAGACTCTTCGTATCCCGTACCTGGAGATATAAACAGAGGCGCGTCATTCTCCTCACTTATTCACCAACACAAACCCAGAATTCTTCGAGAGAGAAACCAAGAACCCGCATCAAAACTTCGCAAATTCCCCCGAGCATTGAGCTTAGAAACTGAGACTTGCCACTACGAACTCGTAAATCGGCAACTTTCGCTTCAGATTAAGGTAAATTCCTTTGATTTCAGTTTATTTTTCTTCGAATTCGAACTCCTTCCCCTTTTCTTTCGACTTTTCTCTTCGAAATAATCCATGGCAAGAGGAGTTAGAGGTAGAGCCCGTGCTCCAAGAAGAGCAAGGCCGATTCCCGATCCTAGGAATAGGATTGGGACCTGGAATGGTCAAAGGCCGGAGTCTGACCCTGCTGAAGGGATTAGGGCGACTCCCCTTTCCTCGGCTCCTCCTCAAAGAACGGATGAGCCGAGTGCTTCTGGACTGGACGATGAAATTCCCGCTGTCCTTTGGGATATCCTCCCTGGGTTTTCAGAGTGGGAGAATGCCGAAGTCGCTTCGGCCATGATAAAGAACCGCCCCTACTCATGGTGGGTAGAGAACGCCGATCAATATCGATTTGCTGAGCAAATTGAGTTGCACTACGGCATTTTTGAAGCTGATGGATATTGGTGCCGAATGCCCTCAGCATCCGATAGAATCCATCGTCCACCCCCGGGGTATGTGGGGGTGTACACGAGACAGCTTCAGTATGGGCTGAGGTTCCCTTTGGACGTTTTCGTCCGAGACTTGCTGATCCATTACAACATTTCCCTATGTCAGCTAACCCCCACCAGCATCCGAAGGGTGATGACATACTTATGGGTCTGCAAGTTCTTCAAATACGTGCCGAACCTGCACTGCTTCAGAAAGCTCCATCGGCTAGTGCCAAATATTCAGAGTGGGCACGGAAGCCATGGTTCTGGGTGGTATCGGATTGAGTCCCGGCCCCAATACTTGACCATGTGGCCAAATGACTCTTCAGACAAGGACTGGAGAGGTCAATGGATTTGGGTTAGGGCACCCATAGATCCGGGCCACCCTTGCGTCTTCAGCGCTCCCCGGTACTTAGCTGAGCCTGATCCCGAAATGGGAAGTCTAGGTCCCCCCGCAGATAACGGGGCGGATCCGAACCTGGATCAGCAACATATCTTCGGCAAGCTGCCGAACCCGGGGGGGAGTGGTCGAATGCAGCATATCCCGGAGACTTGGCTCCCCGATACGCATTACGTTTTCCAAGAGAATATGCTAGCAGCTGTTGGCCTCAGCCGAAAGTTTAAGGATGGTAAGCTTCTTCGGCTGGGGCCGAGGCTTTTAACTACCTCTTTTTCTTCTCTCGCTTTGCTTTTTTATGCTGTGCCAACATATCTGAGCTAAACTTTTTCCCTTTCCTTTTTTCAGAGCGGGACGAGACCAACGTTGGTATTAACTACACTCGTCTTGGTGTTAACCGAGAGCGAGTTGTAACTGAACGGGCCCCGTCTATCACTGAGCCGAGGCATAGGGAAGTTCATCTGGACTCTTCCCACTTCCAAATTGAGGCTGTTGCTCTGTATCAGAGGCAGAAGCCTTGGTGGAAGAAGAGAGACCCTTGGTTTCAGCTGCTGAACGAAGAAGCTGAAGCTGCCCGCACAGCCGAAGAGGTTGCACGGGTACTTGAGGCTTGCGAAGGAGGAGAAGGGTCCTCCAGAGCTGCTGAAGCCGAAGCTGCAGCTAGAGCAGCTGAAGAAGACGAGGCTTTGCTGAAAACCTCGGTGAGCTTTCAGACAACTTTTTTCTTTTCTTCTTTTTTTTTTTTTTTTTTTTTTTTTTTTTTTTACTCACATTCTTCTTCCCCCTGTCTGTTACAGTCTGAAGAGAGTAACAGACACAGAGAAGGCAAAGCTCCTGTTCGTCCCGAAGACCAAATACAAGAGTCTTCAGACTCAGATATGGACGAGCAGCCCCTTCTGAAAAGGCGCCGAAGGATGGCCATCATCGGCCCTCATGACTTTCAGCAGAGGCCGATGACCATCGGCGTCGCAATAAGGGAACCTGAGGAAGGCAATGGATCGCCGAGGGTTCCCCAGCCAACACCCCAATCTCCTCAAAAGACCCCTCCGCCACCTCCTGAGATGGAGGTGGATCAGAGAACTCCCGAACCTAAGGGAGGGGTCCAAGAAGAAATCAAGGAGAGTGCTGCTGAGCACGAAAATAAAGATGCCGTGATGTCAAGTGCTGAAGGCTTCACGACAGATATCGCAAGAGAGGTTGAGGCTTTCGTCCTCACCCCTGAAGAAGAGGAGGTCATAGTACTTGACTCCTCTGAGAAGGACGATGCTGAGACAACCAAGGCTAATCAAGCTCCATCGTCGTCCTTCCCTTCTTTCCAGACTCTGCATTCTGGAGAAATGGGTTTCTCGGCCCCCCGAATTCCAATCCCAGATCACATCTGGGACCTCATATGGGGTCAAAACCGAGAAGGAGCTGCAGCCTACTTCGGCAATTTTGCTGGCATGTCCGAAGTAGACAGGGCAAGGATCTGGTCGCTGAAGGCCACTGCTGGGATGGGCGAATCCAGTAGATCAGTTCCTGACCCAGCCAGGTCTAACCAACTGCTGATGATGCAGGTAATTTTCCTTCATTTCCTCCGAAATTCAGCTCTATTTTTTTCTTATTACTTATTTTTTTTTTGTCTTCCTGTTTTCAGTTCGTGCACAATCAGACTCTCACTGTAGAGCTGATAGATACCCTACAAGATAGGGTAGACGCTGCTGTGCACGAAAGGAAGGTGGCTGAAGAGGAAGTTAAGCTTGCTAAGCTGAAGCAAGCAGCAGCTGAAGAGAAGCAGCAGGAGGTTGAGGAGTACGGTAAAAAAGCTGCCGAAGCTCTGAAAACCTTCTGCGATGCTATGGAGATGGAGGTTTTTCCCCCACTGATGGAAGGGGAAAAATTCCTCCAGGAGCATATGGGAGTGGACGTCTCCAAATTCAAGGCTGCTATTGAGAGCCGAATTCAAGAAGGAACTGCTGCACAAGCTGAAGTGCAGCGGCGTCTAGAGGCTCTTGAAGCCAGCCGAATGGCTGCTGAAGAATTGCTCCTGGCCAAAGACGTCCAACTCTCAGAGGCTGCTGCTGCTGCTGAAGCTCAAAGAGCTAAATTCCAAAAGGCTGAGGATCAATTGCTGATCCAGAAAGTTGAAGTGGCCCAGGCCCAGACAAAGGCTTTCCAAATTCAGCAAGAGCTGAATGAGCTGAGAGGTTCCTCCTCCCAAGTCGCTGATGAGCTGAAGAAATCCAAGGAAGACTTGGAGGAGACCCAGAAGAAGCTGGCTGATGCTGAGGCTTTACTCAATGTCCGTGTATATACCCAAGAGGAATATGAGATGGGTTTCAGAAACGGATTCCGAGTATGCCGAAGAGTCTGCCTTCATGCTGAGCCGAAACTGGACTGGTCTAAATGTGCTGAGTGGGTCCAGAATCCCGAAGACCCTCACATGAAGTATGCAACTCCAGCTGAAGCTGAAATTCTTAAGGCTGAGGAAGCCGAAGAGGAAGCTGAAAGACTGGAGTTGGAAGCTGAGCAGAGGGAAAGGGAGGCTCGGCAAAGTGCAAAGCCCGCCTCTTCTGCTGCTGG